TCCTGGTGCGAAATGACGATTCCCTGCAAGAACTCTGCAAAACTTTCGCGGAACACCATCTACAGCTTCAAAAAAGCATTTCAGACCCTGCATTGGTATATGATTCAGAGTCGTTGAGGCAAAGAATAGACGTTCTTTGGCTCTACCCTTTCCTAGAAGTTCTGAAACGTGGTACTGAGACCCCCTGTGTACATATGGAATAGAAATATTTAATAAACTATAACAACTTATACGAAATACTATTTCAAACGACACTTGATGATACAGTACAAAGTCTGTAATCCGGACCTCAAAGCTACAAACTTTATACGCATGTGCGTTTAATGTATAATGGACGGAACTTTCGATTATGTCAAAAAGAGTTTCCAATTTTGGAGCTGCAAGAGGATCTACAAAGCGAAAGCATGTTTCGATGTCCATTAAACAAAAAGTGGAATTGCTGCAAAAAATGGATAAAGGCTTATCCGTCTCAAAATTATGCGAGAAGTATGGCATTGTAAAGTCCACTATATATGACACAAGAAAAAGAAACTTTTTGAATTTTTTGTGGAAGCATCATAAACAACTTGCATTGAAAGATATGTTTAATAAAGTAAACAAATATTAAGCTTTTTTTTGTAAATTTTGATACCCTTTAGATCATAATTGTTTTTTATTTCATACATTACGATTTCATATTTTTAATTGTATAATTTCTGCATGCCATCTTACCTTAAATTGATGATCTATAATCCGGAATCGCCGAAGTCCCGACGAGTCCGGATTACGGACTTTGTACTGTATTTATTTATGTAAAGATTTTTTAGATTTAAAACGTTTCTTCAAAACGGACATACTTGCTGAGAAGTATATGAAACTTTATGATTCATCGCATAGTTTTTTTCTCTTTTATTACTTTTGTTTTTGTTAAAGTATTTTAGTTAGCATTTAATACTAAAACAGGTTTTATTTTTTAGGTGAACCAGTGTTCAAGTCGCGGAACGACCCCTCTGTTGATGGCGGTGGAACGTGCTTCCTATACGAAAGAATCCTCTATTTTTTTTTTTTATATGTGAACTATTAAGGAAGAAAGGAGCGGATGTGAACGTAACCAACTCAAATGGACAATCCCCTCTTCACATGGCGGTAATTTCGAATCAAGAAAATTTGGTCAAAATGCTCTTGATTGGAAATAACTACATCGACATCCGTGATCACAGGGGATTTGTCGCATTGTTTTATGCCTGTCGGAATGGTAATCAAAATCTGGCAGAGTTGCTAATAGATTGTGGTGCAAACCTTCACGCTCACAGCTGGGAGGATTGCATCATTATCTATGGCAATGTAAACAATGCTTCAGTTTTTAAAACAATGTCCAGAAAATCAAAGAATTGCGTTTCAACTAAATAAATTATGTTTGAACGCAATTCGGAAGAACATTCGAAATATTAAAGGCATCAGCAGTTTGCCGTTGCCTACATACTTAGTCAATAAAATAACCCAGCGAAAAAAGTAGTGTAGGAGGTAACCTAAATAAGTTCCTTTTAAACCGTGGACTTCGTTTATAGTTTATGTATTTAAAACGCGTGTTTGAAGTATTGTATCATACATTAAGGTTTTAATATTATTCTTAAATATATATGTGATATTTCGGCAGGCGTGGTGAAGCTTAGCATCAAAGTTCGTGCATTTCTTTAGCAGAATGGTAGCTTTTAATTGCCCATTTTTATTTAACTCGCCGGCCGGCTCGCATTCGATTCTATTTACGTGTCGAAAACTGCAGTAAAAATTAACCATGTTTACAATTTTTTTTTTCATTTAGAGTGAACTAAAATTGTCCTGAAAACGACGCCTTTGTTAGATTTTCTTCCCCCCTCCTTGTAGCATGGAGGTAGGAAGTAAGATGGAGTAGCCCTAAGCAAGTTTCTCCCGTACCCTGCTCTGAAGCACCGGCGATCCCTATGTGGTGACCAAAACATTGGGTCATTTACCATTGAGTTCAATGGGATTTGACGCGTTCGAATGTAAATATTTTGTAATTACGTCGTAAATATACATATAAATGTATATATTTTCTTTTTCTACAACACTTCAGAGTCCTAAGTATATGAAAACAACATATTTTTAAACAACATTTCATTCTGAACGGAATTAAATGCTATACTTTTCACAGGACAGTTTTTCTCAGAATGGTTTAATTTGAATGAAATATTTTCACAAGTTTTCGTTAATTACATTAGAAAAAAAAAATTAAGGTAATTCGATTTTATTCGGTTAAGGTACAAAAATTAAGATCAAAGTTTATTGTATTATTAATATTAAAATTATGCATTATTTCTTTTCTATTTATAGAGCTTTTTCCTAAAATACTTTCTTAAATATGACATGATTTTTTGGCTTTTGAGGCATCTTTTAAATCGAAAAATGTAAGTCAATTTATAATTAATGCTCTATTCGGTTCATTTTAAATTAGAGAATTATTAGGAATTAGGGAAATACTTTAAATAGTACTTAACTTTCTCTGAACATTTCTGAAAAGGGAATAAATAAGGTTTTTTTTTTTTTTTTTTTTTTTTTTTTTTTTTTAAGTATTATTTAAAACTTGTAACTGAGTTATTATAAAATGTAAGGGGAATAATTCTTTTAATTATACTTATCAGATTTTTTTTACCCTTCATTTCAACAATACATACTCCAAAACTCTTTATTATGTTCTTAAGTGCGCATCTCATAGCATTTGCTTTACAATACCTTTTAACAGATTGCTTTACAATTCTTGCTTCTTTACAATTCTTTACAATTCTTCTTTTATAACGTATTTGTCAACAGGATTTCAATTTATGTTTACAATTCAATATTAAGGTTATTATATATTCAGATAACATTTATAATCATTATAAATTAGATACATTTAATAATTAGATTTCTTCCCTGTACTTTTACAGTTGTTTATAAGTGAATAAATTCTCCATTTCAAATACATTTATAAATAATTTAATGAATATTTATGTATTTTGTCAAAGGTAGATACATGCTTTTTGCAAGCACATGCATAAATACCCATACATATTTCCTATTTTTCATTTCCTGCAAATCTTTAATTTCTGTGCATTCACTATATTTTTCGTGTAAAGTAATTTACACTAATTTAGCATACACCTGAAAGTTTTACATAAAAAATATATATGAATAAATTTAAATGAAAATTATATGCATTATTTTTAATACCCACTCAAAGGTCAGTTTTTCTTCAAAATTCCTCCGCGATGGCATCTCTCTCTTTAGGCAGATAGCCCTTGCATGCGTTACTCTATTTAATAAAAACTTAATCTGACATATGTGCCTAATTACAAATAAGATATATAAAATTAAAACGATGAGTTTAAAATGAGCAGCAGTAAAGCCTCTCCTCTAAAAAATTTTAAAAGGTATATGTTGCAATAATATTTGGATGTGAAAAAAATGTGTTTTATTTAAAACATTTTGGCATTCGTCTGTCAAAATACTATCAGAACCGTGTCAAGCGAGCTTCTGAATGTAAACAAAGAACACCCCATCTGGTGACCCAAGCTTCAAAGCAGTGCTTCACTTCTAGCACCGGATGGCCCCTCCTTCCTTTCCTACCTCCATGAATTGAATTTTCTCTAGATTATATCTAAAACAAAACCTTGAGAATCGGATGAGAATTTCTGGAGATCTGCCTTCAGCCTGCATGGGTGAAGGTCACTTCACCCATGCAGCATTCCGCCGGTCACATTCCGCCGTCCTTCACCATTCCACCATCCTTCACCATTCCGCCGTCCACCAGAGCATTCCGCCGTCCTTCACCATTCCGCCGCTCTCATGGCGAGCCATGATCCTAAGTCGAACCATGATGTTCTTCCTCTGGATAAAAGCTTTTCCGACTGGAGTGTGCCTATGGATGACTTCACTGATGATACAATGACCGCTACTGAATATGGACCTTCTGTTGATTGAAAAACTAAATTTGGAAATCAAGGTATTGGAATCGAAAATTAACACAATCAAGGATACGAAAAAATAACTTGACACTACTAGACCTGTTACTGAACTGGATAAATACACCAAGGCACTTGCAAAGATGTTACGAGAAGACACGCTGCAGAAGGACTACCTAATAGGTAAGCGAGATATTTTAATTTCTCTGTGTACTAAACCCTCCTCCTCTAAATCGGCTAGTAATGTTAACTTGCAACATCTAAAAAGGAAAATATTAGATAACTCTGATCTTTCTGATAATAACTCAACTCAAAATGATGGATTCATTAAACCCACTCGAGTAGCCTAAATAGGAAAAAAAGAACACGTAAAAAAAATCCCATAACTACTAGCAATAAATTTCATATCTTAAATGCGGACAATACGAAATATCATCAGGATAACGATAATACTCAAAATACTCTTCCTAAAGCTCCTGAGGATCAAACTACTCTTCCACTAAAAAAAAAAAAAATTCTGTACCTCCTATTATGGTAAAACTCCCAAGCAACATCAAACAAAACGTATATCTGAAGCAACTTGCCCCTGAATCCTCTTCTAAATTTTACAGCAAAAGTAGCGGTGAATTTCTTAAAATCTTTTCAAACACTTCCGATGATCACAAAACTCTCACTACTTATCTTAAAAATCATTCAGCGGTGAATTTCTTAAAATATTTTCAAACACTTCCGATGATCACAGAACTCTCACTACATATCTTAAAAACACTACTTCATCAATGCACTACACAACAATTAAAGTCGTAATACGAGGATTACCTATTGACATGGACACCACAAAAATTAGTGACATTCTAACTGAACAAGGATATAACGTACATAAAGTAGTACAAATGACATGTTTATGTACACAACAACCCATGCCTTTATGTCAAGTTCAACTTCTTCCTACACCCAATATTGACTCTCTATATGACATTACACATTTCTCACTATTCATAGTTGAAATTCAAAGGTACATAAACAAAAACCTCATTTCACAGTGCCAAAAATGGCATCACTCTTCCAAAAACTGTTTCCTAGCCCCATGTTGCGTCAAGTGCGCAGGAGAACGCAAAACTTCACTATGCCCAAAAACAGGTTTCTTAGAAAATCCCATCTGTGTAAACAGTAGTAATTCTCACTCTGCGTCTTATCGTGCTTCCTTAAAATTCCCCAAACCCAAAACTATTAGTGCAAATCAGACAAAAAAAAAAAAAAAAAAAAAATCCTACTATGAGGTACTACTCAATAAACATCAAAATTCTGGACCACAGCAGATAGAAAAAACTCCAAATCAACCTTATCCCACTCTTGAACTCAGTCAAAACCGAAAACCTCCAAAAACTCCCCATCAGCCTTCATAGAATTTTTTAATGCTATAAAAGAACTTGAAACAATTTTCAGTATTCAATTATCTAAGCTAACAATGCTCATCAACCAAAAATTAAACGAAATTAAGAAACACTCAAACTGTTATTGAAAAAATCTACATAATCTTCCTAATCCTCTTAGAGGCTAATAACTCAAATTCTAATTAACTTAATATCCCAACAATTAACTAATTCAGATGATATCTCCTAATTGCAACTCTTCTTCATTTTAATTAAACTTCTATTAACTCCCATGTCTTAGACTAACTCCTCCCCTTGCTTTCGGCTTCCCTTTCAAAATTGCATGGCAATGAAAAGAGCCCCCCTGCACACTGAGAATCTCTCGCCCACCTACCACCTTCTTCCTCCTTTGCACATGACTGCTCTGACTCCTCAGTTTCAACACCTCCTGAAATGGCCAATAAATGGCACCAGGTTTGCTACTTTTCCCCAAGCTCTCCATCCAGCTACACACTCAGTTACAGCTATCTCTCGAAAGTGAATTTGCTTGCCTACTCGGTGCTTATTTTTAGAACTCTTGTCGTCAACATCGACTCATGGTCACCTTTATATCAGACTTGCAATTACTCTTTCCCATACAATGCTCGTCAACATTTGAAAAATCGAAAAAAATTGTTCTGCTGGGATAGGTTTTTAACCAGGAGCCCCAGAGCTTAAATTGCACTGGAGCCCGGCTCTGGTACTTCTCAGTTTTCGTGATAAATTATAATTTCAACCAGAGTGCACCGTTAATCGTAAAAGATGCCTTAAAAATCAATTCTAACTTCTGAATGTAGGCCTGTCTTTCCCTTGCACTTAAGCTTTGCACAGAGGTTGAGACTTTTAAGGAAAGAAATGCCCCCAATTGTATGTCAAAGGCTTATTCTCCAGGATATGCTATGAATTTATGAGAGTGGGTAAATGTTATGTTCCTCCCTCAAAGAACTAAAAGTGGTGCCCAGATCGTGAACGTTCCGCGCTAGTGACTTCCTCCTGCAAAGCTCCTGTATGCTTTCTGAATGATGTAACCAAATGGGGTTACCGCTGTTGTCACTTGTACCGAGAAGTCTTATGTAGTGCATAAATGTTCATTCGTTTTCACGAAGAGGATTTAAATATGGATATAAGCATAAGAGATAAATGTTACGTGTGTAACGAGCCATTTAGTGCGATGACAAAAATGTATATGTTATCTGCGCAGAAGAGTGGCCTCCAGTGTTTTGAACATATGTTAGAAACAACTTTTCCTTGCTTTTGCAGTAAGCACTTGTCTCTGTAGCTAGAAAATCTCATTTGAGGTCATGTCTAGAATTTTTTCACAGGTTGACAGAATATTCGTATAGCAAAATTCTTAGAAATCAGATAGGCAAATCTGAATAGTGTAAAGCATAGTAGTGAACCTGTAGAAGAAACAGAAATTCACATTTGATGAAAATAAATTATAAACCATTTATTTGTTTCCACAAGATGAAATATTCAATATATTTTTACATGATAAGTGTTCAATGTTTATATCTGCTGCATAATGAAGTCTGGATAAGAACTTCAAAAACTGAAATTCTAAATGGTGGCTAAATGTTTCATCCAATATATATGCTGTAAATTATTTGTGTTTTGCTTTAAACTGTTTCTGAATTTCACACAGTTACGTATTACAACCATGCCATTACAGATAGTAATACCATTCTTGGTACCTGTCATGAAAACTATATTAGATATTTCCACTCATCCTGAACAAGTATTAAAGACCATGCCTATTGGGCTCCAGTATCAAATGTGTCAGTGTATAAAATTTACAAAATTAGTGCAGCGTTCCATTGCATTGTTAGAAAAGTGAAATGAAATCTCCGACATTTTCAGTCAAATCTTGGACATATTAAGATCAGTGACACCAGGTGTGTAGTGTGTATAAGAAGAAATTTGTGTAGCGTCATATCTCTGCATGGTAAGAAATCGAAGCATGATAGATATTTATTTTGAAAACTTTTATATTTTTTCATGTAATAGATAAAGAAAGCTAAAGTAATTCAGTTGTATTTTCTGCTATCATATTATAAGATGAAATTGTTTTCCATTTTAAGAACTTAGAATAGTTTGTCTCTGAAAAATAAAATAAAATAATAAATGCTATAAAGCACACATGTTAAAAAAATAAAAAATTTAATAAATGTCATAGGCAGTAGCTTTTTTGCTAGGTGCTTCGGAAAGTATGGAGGTTTTGGAAGTACTGAGCAAAGGCAAAAGTATTGTTGAAATTATTTTAAGATTAGTTTCATTTCTCATTCTTTAATATTTTTTCGTGAGAACTGTATATTGTGTAATTGTTTCTGTATATTTAAATGTGTATCAGTTTTCTCTGTAAAATTCACTTTACACTTTTCTGATTTCTTTTCTTTTCAAAATTCACAAGTCTTGCGTCTGTTTGCTCGCACAGAGTTTGTAGGGGTGTCTTTTCGATTAACTCACATACTCAGGATTTAAAGGCATACGATTTCTAAAATATGTGACAAAATGATTTAAGTCTTGTTGGCATTATCATTTAATGGTCATATTTTGTGAGAAATTTTTGATGAATATCTTATTTTTGGAGAATTTTTTGAAGGACATTGAAAACAAAATTATTTGAATTTTTTATTTTTGATTCTGAAAGTTGGTCTCTTAACATGTTTAGGTTAGTGTAGACTGAAGGGTACCCCATGTATTATCATAAAGTTTTTGTTTCATTTATTGCCAAGCCAAGAGAGTACACAATGCCAAGTTTGAGATTCTCTGATATTTTTTTAAGTGAAAATAGGTTAATATGTACATGGATACTGAGTTCGTGCAATTCTTCGACTTGTTATTTTGTCTTTGTGTAGCAGCGATTTTTGGTGCTAAAATAATTTTTGGCGCTACACAAAGCCAAAATAACAAGTCAAAGATTCACACAAACTTGGTCTCCATGTACCGCCAAAAATTGCAGTTTTTGTCAAGGGGTTACCCGTAAATATACTTTTACCCATGTTTATGTTCTCTTTACTTTCTCTTCATTAGACACCTGTACCGAAAGTTGCAAAAATAGTTCTAATCTTATTACATGGAGAGAGATGAAATTATGCTTTAGCGATAACTGGGTAGCGAAATAATGATGCAGGCATCCATTCAGTTATGTTTAGCAATTTTTATATAAATTATACTTATAATGATCTGGAAAAAATAGTTAATTACTCTTATTGCAACTCCATTCAGTCATGTTTATATGAAATTAACCTTTCATCAGTAAATTAAAACATCAATCATCAATAGATAGTTATTTACTATTATACAGTACAAATTCCGTAATCCGGACTCGTCGGGACTTCGGCGATTCTGGACTAGAGGTTTTTTCCGGATGATAGATCATCAATTTAAATCTGGTAAGATGGCATGCAAAAATTATACAATTAAAAATAGGGGTACGTTTCCGTTTTGCCGGCGCAATAGATAAAGTCGCCAATAATGGTACAACTGATGCCAAACGGAATATCTTCGCTGATAACCTTTTACGCCTCATTTTCAAAACAAGTCGCAGCCATTTCTTATCCGATTGATTATTTCTTTCAATACTGGCATACAATTACGTAGAATTTTTACAAGATAGTTAAATTTTATGCCCTAAGACCATTCACGGTAATTAAGTCAATTAGAATGCAATCACACTGCTCACCCGAAGGCAAAATCAATTGTTAAATTCATAAATTCTAATGAGAATGCACTAGCGAAGTAAAGCACTGCGGTTTACATATTTTCTGAGTAAGCTATTCGTACAAATTGAAATAATTCTTGCATTTAAACTTGTATTCCAAATTAAGATTTAAGTTGAAATTAATGTAGATAACTGCTGAGAGAATTAGATTTTTGTAGCGCAGTTTACGTGAGATGAGATCACTTGGGGTCATGCGATTTAAACCGGCAAATCAGGATGTAGAACCATGAAAGCATAGTAAATTATTAAATTAATGTATTTTTACAAAATGTTAAACCATATTAAAATGTTTATGCCTTCAAAAAAAATTCTTAGAATTAACATTTGTTAACATTTTTTATGTGTACTGTATGATGTCGGCAACAAAGTCTGCTTGGAGAGTTTTGTACAAGCGAAAAAGAAAAGTACCAAAATGTGAAACCGTAATTTATGAAATAAAAAACAATTATGATCTAAAGGGTATCAAAATTAAAAAAAAAAAAAGCTTAATAGTTATTTCTTTACTTTATTAAACATTTCTTTCAATGTAAGTTGTTTAAGTTGCTTCGTTTTATGTGCTAATACTTTCTCTTTAATTCTATAAACAGACAAAATTTCTTGTTCAGTTGCAAAGTTCCGCTGCTCAAGTTCTGTAATTGCTGTGCCGAGAATACCGACTAACTTGTCAGTCGAAATTTTTTCGTTTTCACTAACCTCTCTGTTACTTTCTTCATGTCTTTATCCATTTTTTACAGCAATTCCATTTTTTGTTTGATGGACATCGAAACATGCTTTCGCTTTGTAGATCCTTTGGCAGCTTCAGAATCGGAAACTCTTTGACATAATCGAAAGTTCAAGCTTACTTTTTATAAAACTGCTCTAATAGTCTGCAAAAAATAATAAGCTGATCCAATTAGAAGATTAAGGAACAACATAATCTGCAACATTAACAGAAATAGATAATTTTAGCCTAGCGTATACCGTCTGTTATACATTAAACGTGCATGTGTAAACGTATTATGCGCATGCATAAACGTTACGCATGTGCAGAAAGTTTGTAGCTTTGAGGTCCAGATTATAGATCATTCTGAATTATGAACTCCCGGATTAAACACTTTGTACTGTATTTATAATTATTTGATTATAAGGAAAATGTCATTTTACATTATAAATCATATTTAAATAAATAATATGATGGGGTATATTAGTTTAGGTAATTCAATGTAATTTCATTTTAAATGAAAATACTTACACAATTTTTTTTTTAAAATTTCATTTAATTAAATGGAACTCTAGAGTTATTCAAAATGTTATTCATCAGTCTTTTTTTAAATACTTCTGTTTCAGCTTCTTTTTCTTGTTCTAGTTTATTTTTATCTATTTACAAATCTGTATTCTTAATTTCCAACCAAATTCCACTTATCATTTAGGTAAATATCCATACAATGCATAATTTCATACTTTCTAGTGAACCTTAATAAAGTTTAATTACAGTTTTTTGTGTTTTTGATAAGTTTAAATCAGAATTTATATTGTGTTGTGTTCCAGATTTAAAAAATGAATTAAAAATAGTTGTACAACCAATTTGGATAATTTCTCGACTTTAATTGTTGGCTTTACATTGTGTTCAGTTTTGAAAATTCAAATAATATTTCAGAACTTAAAAGTAAGCTTATTTTGTAATTCTAGATATTTTCTTATTTGTATTTACAGTTTGCAAGAAATGGCATTATGGTGATTAGTATAAAAGCGTGGTTCAGCTAAAGTTTCACAAGAACAGAAGTCATGCAGCATGAAACATTTGAAGATTAAATATGAGATATCTCCTTGCAAAAGCAGCATTTTTTAATAAACTCCTTAGCTAATTCACTCATGCATGAAAATGATTTATTGCATATAACTTTTTCATGAGAGTAAATAAGCACATGTATTGCTAAATGACCTTTGAATTTAAATGAACTGCTATATTTAGCACATGTTTATAATTTCTCACCAGTGTGGGTAAAAATATGTGTGTTTCTAACACACATTTAACTGTGAATATCTAGTTACAAATATCACATTCATGTCATTTCTCATTGTTGCTGGATAAGTATTTGTCTCTTTAATGCACTTGTGTGTGCGGATGATTTACAAACATTGCATTCATGTAAGTTGCCCCCAGTGTGTGTAAACAATTTTATTTTAATGATGCAAATAATTCATCACATACAACTTGTTCGTGTGTGATAAAGATTTAATATGACTTTTGAGTATAAATGGCACGAACACACTCATTTTGTTTTGTACCTGTGCGAAAGCAATATGTGCCTTTAACATACTTGCATGTGCAAATAACTTACTATATATACCTGGGGTGGCCAAACCTTATGACGACAGCAGCCTCATAGTGGATTTCATGAATGTTCGAGAGCCGCAAATCCATATTTAAACCATTTAAAAAATAATAAGACATGTTTTCAATGGAAAGAAATGTTTGAAGTAAATTAAGAGTTTCACATTTTATATGCGATTCGCATGGTTACATGTAAATGTAAATAAATATTTTTTTTCCCTCTCTGTCCTGTATTCAGGAAAGTAAGTCCCAATAAAATATAAATTTGAAATTAGTGTACTGTGTAGTTGAGCATTCTTCTTTCAGACAGAAAAAGCAAACATATTCTTTTTGTTTCCTCCTCCTTTTATAACTGTTGTTTGATTTTAGCAGACGTAAGCTAAAATCGGAAAAATATGTATTGTTCTTTAAGAATACAGTTATGTAATACATTTTTTGTATGAGTGAGTTATAAATAATTAATTTTAAAAAAAGTGTTTTTTTTTTTCTTTAACTCAAAGAAAATCTTTTAGAAAATAAATGACGAAATGCAAGTCAACACGCATTGCAGAGAAACTCTTTTATCCCCAAATAGGCAATAGAGTGCATTCCAAAGAAACTCATTTTATGTAACCAGTAGTGTTCAGATTTATCACAGTGTTACCTCTTAATAATGCAAACCTCAAAAAATAACTTTACTGCCCAAATCAAAACTCGGACCACATTGCTTAGAATTTGAAGATTTGGTAGAAAAATTTTCATAAAAAATTGTTTTTTGGAATTTTTTTTGATAAACTTATTCCTGTTTATCTCAAATCCACAACCAAAACCAACAAAAATTAAGTAACCTTAGTAAATATCAGTGTGTTGAAATATAAAATATTGACTGTGTTTTTGGAACGTGAGGGCATCCAGTTTATACACTTGCTATTTGGAGAATTCATCGAGCTCTATGCAAGCATTTTGCATTGAATGATCAATATAAGTGTTTTTTTAATTAACTTGTAAGTTGGAATTTTTAAGACTGGGCATTGATGATTATTATCAAACATAACTTATAATCTCTAATATTTTGTGATTTGTTTTAATTTAAAAATGTTTTCTAATCTTGCATGCTGATTGGTTTATTTTTCTGTTGCTGTGAAAAGTAAAATATATTATTAGAAAAGACATTTTGTCTTTATAGGATAATGCCTGAATCCTCTGATCAAATCTTCATAGCTCTCCACTGGATGGATAGAAGTAATTGTTGACATGAATTAAACAAAGGTCTTTTCATTTCAAAGGTCTTTAAATTTCTTTCTTTTATATTTAATACAAATAACTTGAAATGTATCTTTTCTTTCTAATAGGAGCTTAAAATATGCCCTGTTAAACAAATAGTAACTCACATTTCTCACATTTGATTTTTTATTTTATGTGAAGAGCAGGGCCAGATTGAAACACAGTTGACCTAGGTAGTTACCAGGATATATAAAGGTATACTGTATTTACTTATATATTCTTCCCTATTCCCCAGTTTTTTTTTTTTTTTATTATTATTATTTTTTTTTTTTAAGAATATGATTTAAAGACTTCTGACTGATAGTAACAACGTAAAGTGTATGCACAGATAGAAATTATTTTGTGTAAATAAAAGGAAGGTCATCATGGATGATACTGTTTCGTAAAAACCATGTGGCATCAGAGATGATGTGAAGAAACGTACTATATTGTAACTTCTTTTGGTTTTGGTTTGGAGTCCCAACCCTTTCTGGGGCTGCATATAGAATGACAGGGTCCATTGTACATAGAGAAATAACTTTTATTTTCAATGCTTAGGTAAGAGTTTATTTTTAATAAGGGATAAACTGCCGTGAAAGCTTTCTGTGCTTTGATTCAAATGTTATTTACATGCTCCTCGAATTTTAATTTATTGTTCAGATATACTCCGAGATATTTTACTGAATTGTTGAGCTGCACTTTGATAATTTTAATTTGTAAATTGTAGCTTTTTGTTTTGTTTTGTTTTGTTTTGTTGTTGTGGAAAAGAATTGCAACAGATTCAGAAGGGTTGATTTTAATGCACCAGTTATCAACCTCATTATGTGCATTCTCAAGAATTTGAAAAGCAGTGTCTGGCCTGCATGACCTGCGTACAGAGTTGTGTAATCTACAGATTTGGGAAAGAGTACGAAGAGGATTAGACATATCATTAATAAAAATATTACAGAGAATGGTTGAAAGAACAAAGTCTTGTGGAACACCAGCTTGAACTGACTTAAAAGGAGAGATAGTTCCTGATTTTACTCGGGAATTTTCTACTTTAGACGGAACTATTGATGATTTTCATGACATAAGTAAGAAAATTATAATTTATCATTTTGTGGATAATTCCAGGATGCCATACTTTTTCAGAGGCCTTTTTCAATGTTGAGGAAGCAACCAATAACACATTCTTTATTATTAAAACTTATACTGATGTGTTCGATAATGCGAAGAATTTCATGAGTAGTGGAATGTTTTCGCTAGAATCCAAATTGGGTAGGAGAAATGATAGCATTAGTATTTATCAATTCTTGAAGTCTGGTAAAGATGATAGATAAGCAAGGGTAGTTACGCATAATCTGATATGCATGTTCCTAGCATGTACTCGCAGTACCCCTGTGGAGAAAATGCAATCCGATCCGAACAATTATTGCTGGGGTAGCACGTTGTTTCCAGCTCTTGAAGAGATGCCTGAAGGCACATGACAGTAGTAAGTCTGACGTGGTAAAGTTGTGGGAATGAGTTGATGGCAGAAGGGGGGGCGAGCAAGATGCCGCAAGCCTAGGAATTAGGCCAAACAAGAAGACGCGCCGCAGACGACGGAGCAGTGCAAGGTAAAGCAATCATGAGTTTTATGTTGAGATACTGTGAAAGCATAAAACATGACATAACGAGTTTGTAAAGAATACAAACTCCCAGCAGCATACATTTATTAATGTAAAGTTACAGTGACAAAAATGCAATTTGTAAAATCAGATATAAGAGAAAATGCTGAATGACTGATACGTAATAATACAACTTGTTTGGTCACGTGACAGAACAATTGCAGATGAAAACATGTTGTAGAAGTTAATTTATTCATTGTTGGATAAAACGAAATAAGCTTTGTATGCATGTAAGATAAAAATGTATGAATTAGAATTATAATATAACTATAAACATTAATTCTTCCTGTCTATTCTAAAATCGTAATAACTTATCTGCATTGCGTCATTCAAATTAATCATGCGATCTTACGTAACCGTTAATACCAGATGCCTCTTGACGAACAATCACCGAATTGTAAACCAAAACTTTTCTCTTCGCGTGCTTCCCATCTTTCATAACTACGCACTTCAGCTTTTGCTCTCTACTGGCTAAGATGTAATTTCGCTGGCTTGCTTGCTATCCCCAACAATATCAAAATGTAAATCTTCTGTGGAAAGGCACGACTAGAGTGCCAAGTGATTGTGGCTACAAATATCAATTGGAAATAAAAATGGACTTAAAACTGCTTCGACTGCCAAGTTCTTTAAATACTACGCAATCAAAATTCGTCTTCAATATGGATCTAATCATGCTTCTACACTGCTCCGTCTTTTTTCCTTTGCTCTTATTATGACATGCATATTCAATTCCAAATTAATAATAAACCATTAAAAGTTATAGCTATCGAGGAATATAGAACACGGAGTTCTTCAGACATAAACTCATGAAGTATTTTAAAAGAATATAGTAAAGTTAAATATGCTTTTTACGAATAGAGAATGTTTCTTAAACACGTAAAGTATTGAAGAGAAATTTCGTTGAACAAAAATGATATACAGGAAATTTCATTACCAGAACTTAAGTATTTATAATTGGACTTCAGAATACTGCCGAATGTTTCGTATAAAATATCAGAAATGGTGAAATAACATAGGAGATTTTATTCAGATTTTGGAGAGCGGGAGCTTGAGATGAAGAGATGTTTTTTATTTACTTTATAATAAAACAAAATTGTTTTTGCATTCTTTTTTAAATTTTTTCAGAAGAAGGGGTTAATGTTTTAACATTTCATTGGTATGTCTATATTTTCTGAAATTATAAAATGCAATAGTGTTAACATTTACATTAATAACTGAAATTCTGAAAAAGAATATTGTTTTTGATTATTTGAAAATATAAAGCAACTTCTAATGATGCCTGTCTTTTGAAAAGGTAAGTGAAGACAAATTGGAACATTATCTGGTCACCAGTAAAGTATCGAAAACCAATGAATGTTCGTTTTGGATGTGGGCATTCGCCTGCATATAAAGCATTCAAAAACTTGGGAATGATCATTATGATATTTTTAGATGAAGTTGACATAATGAATTAATAATTACATCTGCATGAAAGAATTTATGTTGTTGATTTACAGTTATCTAAGAGATTTCATGAGACAATAGAATTTTATTGTATAAAAAAATATGCATGCAGTATTTATAACCTTTAATATATGATAGATAACTCAAAATTTAAAAACATTGTGTCATCTATAGTGTTGACCACTCATTCATTACATAATTTTTATTTATACTTTTCCCACATACCAGTAGATTGCAACTAAAAAAATGTGACTTATGAGTCTAAAATAGCTCTATTGTCCTGACATAAATATAGCAATATATCCAAAGCAAAAGTAATTCTGTTTATGTGAAATATGTGCATGACACTTTACATAATTTTATTTTATATTTTCCTCACACCAATAGATTGCAATTAAAAAAAGAAGATACTTACAATTACAAAATAGCTGTACTATCCTGACATAAACATTCAAAATTACATCCAAATCTAAAATAATTATATATGCATTAAACTGTGTTACCTCAGTATGTTAAATACCAGACTGGCTTGGATCATGTTAATAGTTTAACAGATGGAAAATTAAGCTTGACAGTATGATAAGCAACTGCAGTTTTTCACTATCATAGTTGTAGGGATAACTTTGAAGACATAGTTTATGACACCATGTGTATACGTTACAATAAAGTGAGGATCTGAATTCAATATATGAATCTTCGAAACATATTGAAATAATGCCTATTTGTAACATAACATGAGGTAAAATTCTGAGAAAAAAAATCTGAACATATTTTAATGAAAGCTTAATAAGAAACACTAAACAGCAGCACTAGTTTTCAGGAAATGAGAAAGTGAAAGAAAGAAATATTAATTAGGAGATATGTAAAATGACATGAAAATATATATGCGTGATAAAAATGCATAAAACCTAACAAGTTAGATAAATTGTTTCATCAAGGAATAAAAGTTTCTATTAATGATTTACTGCAAATGATTTAATTGTATTTATGTGTACATTTAAAAAGTGTGTGCAAAACATTCATTCAGCATACATGTTTTAGTGATATCAACACTTAATATCGAATAACAATATATCGAAGATCGCTCAGTGAATCATCAGTATTGATTTCAAGTTTGCATTTGTTACTATCCAGATTGC